GAACAGGACGGCCTTGACCTTAGGAATGCCTGCAGGGAGATTCAGCAGTCATAAGAGCAGCCATCAGGTGGTGGTTGACTCGTTAATCACACAAAGAGCACCTCATAAAGAGGTAGCAATGGCAGGATCATTCTCATTAGCCACTGCCAGTCATTATCTACAATGCACAACATCCCAGTCTATCATGACACACTGACAACGCCAATGTGGTTGCCCTATCCTGTAATGTTCAACTCAAAATCAATGGCAGAACACCAGAGCTACCACCCCCACCACCTTTTCTTCACGCTTTTCTCACTCAATTAGTCGTGGCCATGATTCCCATGCATCACCCCTGAAACATATGCTTGCCTGTTTGCACGGTGGAGGAGAGAATGCCTAGCCGCTGGAAGGGATTCACAGTGGTGGACGCAACGAACCCAAACGAGAATGCCGGCTGCTTCACTCCCGGCTGCAGGACCGCACACAGCGACACCCTCCCCAGCAGCAGTGGCTCGTCTGGCTTTGTATTCGAACTGGCCAGGAACACTTGAATGGTGCCGGGATCCCCAGGCTCATAGTCCACCCACACCTTGTATGAGTCGCCATCGGTCAGTGTGAATGGAGACACCTCCTTGACCAAACACTCCTCTGTGCCGTTGATGCACAGCCCCACGTGCTGCTCGCCCACATCATTCGGAAGCGTGTCAAAGACAACGGCTATGCTCCGAAGTCCCAATCCACTGTACCCCACACCAGCAGGCTTCCCCACCTTGGGCTTTGCTGCTATGACAAGTGCAAAGCCATTGGACCCAGCAGTACCAAACTGGGGCATGAGAGAGAAGGTGAAGTTGACTCTGAACGCCAACCCCAAGCCACATCCCGAGGTAACACCACGCTGGTAATGAAACAGGGTCATTGGCTTCGCCATGAACTTCCCCATTGTCTCCTTCTTCGTGCCCTTGGTGAGAAACGCGAATGGCGGGAGGATGTTCACCGTGGGCCCTGCAGAGTTGCAAGGGAGGTGCAGCAGGACATATCATGTGGTCAGTGTTAAGCGGGCAAAGGAGGTAGTGACGAATCTTTGGTGGTGGTTGCTAAGCCAATCAGGAGCATATGCTGCTCTCTGTGTATGTTGCACTTGTAATAGATGAAGCTTACCTACTGAAGTTAATGTCGGAAAGATTGCAGCAAAGACGATAAGGAGAGGAAAGGGTTATGAAGGGCAAGGAATGGTGCACAAAAGTGTTTCGTCCGTTCAACCAGTGACTATATTGCAAGTCTGACCTCAGAAGCAATTGAACTCGAACCGAGTAACGACTGGGCAGTTACCCGAACCGAACCGAACATGTGGAACCAGGAGTTTGAGGTTTGCTATATGTGGTCAAACTGCTACCGCTTGGAGTCAAAGTCTTTGAAGCTCAACTCGGCCCCACCTGTTTTGGTTCGGTTTGGCGGTACATTCACTATAGTCATGTATTTTCACGTTTTTGCTGAGGTTTTCCACTCTGTTTTTGTTGCTAGCTTTCAACCAAGTGTTGAGGAAAATTCGAACCAATGCACCAGAGCCAGCTCTAGTAAAAAGGAAATAAGTTTTTAATAGTCTCAAGTAAATCGCAAGAAGGTACTACAGGTATTCCTTACCTGGTGGCAGAACACAGTCGCCTCGTCCGTACCGCACTGATCCTGCACCACACGAGCACGTTGGCACCAAGCTGGGCCCGTCTGGGTAGCACACGCCACGACCACCACAGGCAGCAGTGGTTGGAGAGATGCCACAGAATGCCATGCACTGTGCTGCGGGTCGCTGCAACTCAGGACTGCAGGCTTTGCTTGGTGCAAAGCAGTTGGCAGCGATGATGTGTCGCTGGCAGTTTGGTGCGGACACAACACCCGACAGGTAGTTGTCGGACAGGTCCGCTGGAAGGAGTGGCGGGAGTTTCACCAGGGGGCCTGTGAGGTAGTTGTGAGAGAGATCGCTGCAGGGGAACGGGAAAAAAGGAACGGGAGGTTTACATTGTAGGCAGGTGTTAATCACACAGAAGTGTAAGTAAAATCAGAATAAATGAGAATAATAGTGTTACATGAGGTGATGGGTGGGTGGAAGTTGGGTTTGAGAAGAACAGGAATGCAGGGGGGAGGGGTAAGGGACGAGGATGAAGAGAAGAGGTGCAGGAGCAACGAGGGAGAGACTGTGGGAAGTAGAGGAGGGGGGAGGAGGAAGCAGTGGGAGTCAATTGTTGCATTGGACTGGCTTCAGTTAGAAGCACCTCTCGACAGCACAACAATAGGAGCAAAGCATGTGAAATGGTGGACACAACCAGCACAAATACTCTGCTTCAGATGCAGGAGTGTAAATGAGAGTGCACAAGATGGGGTGAACAAGCGTGTGGAAGAGTATAGAAATGTATGAGAATCGTATAAGTAGGAGCAAGAGTGGAAGGGCGCATGTGGATTTTTTTGCTGGCATCGTACAGGGTCTGCATGTCTGTCAGTTTGCTGAGGCTGGCAGGTAAGCTTCCAATGATCTGGTTGTAGGCAAGTGACCTGATGGGCGTGAAGGCGGACAATTGTCGAAAGGGATGGATGGCAGGCCTGAGAAAGAGCCTGAGCCGCCTCTTGACTCGCATTTGCAACAACCTGAGCAACAAGATTTTGCTTTCGACTCGACTTGCAGCAAGATGGACTAGAATCGCTAGCGGTGCCTTGCCATGCACAACTGCACCACGCAGGAGGGCTGATCCATCTGGGATTACTATATGTGGGTCCACAAGCCGCAGCACTGCTTGTCTCCATGGACGGTGACCCTAAGGGTTGAACGGGGCCCGATCAAGCTAAAAAAAGTTCCCAACTTTTTTCTATCCTTCAGTAGGCTAGACACGTTTCTTGCAGTCTCCTTGCGAGTGGTTTTATTTCAGTGGGATGGGATGGCGTGTCAACTTACAGATAACTCAATGCAGCCAGCTTGCCAATTTTAGAAGGAATCGTTCCGCTAAGACGATTTTTCGCCAGCTGTCTGTACATGCAATAAGACAGTTATTTCATACAAGCTGTGAGGTAGAATGCAGTGCTGAAAAACACATATTATGAGTCAAGAAGAAATTTGAGATCTCAAAACAAGTTTCAATACTATTTTTTTTTTTTCTTGATAATAGCTCGCACAAGTTGCTAAGTCGAACCTGGCCGATTTGAAGAAAACCAAAAACCGCATTCAACCGGCTCAATCTGATGTGGCTCGCCAATTGGTTCAACCAGGTGGGCAACAAAAATTTCAACCATCAAATCTCTTCGATGCGATCCAAACCGCGGGAGCGATTGTGCGCTGTGCGATGTGGAGTGCTAACGCATCAGAGGCCTGGGGTTCACGCGGCTCACAGATTAGCGAGAGACACAAGTGCAGACATTGTTTCTGGCAGGCTGCCTTCTAGCTCGTTTTGCTGCAAGAAGCTGCCATGCAGTGCCACAAAAAAAACACAAAAAATTAACCCACGTGTGAACATGTGCACAAGGCCAGGAAGTCACTAGAAGCTTCAGACGATCTCCAGAAGAGATGAGGTTAATAAAAGAGGGAGGCAGTCTCCTTGCAGACAACGTAAATTTGATCTAAGGTGCTTCTCGTTTTTACTCCTCTGCTGTGAGCAGCTGTGGAGGTCTGCGTTGGTACTTGGGACTCATGCGACCCTGCGCTAAAAGCGATGGCTGAAAGCCACATCCAAACTCTCTGAAAGCATACCCATGTTGCAACCTGCTTCATTGCTTAATGTGCACAAAAGGAATGAATGACCAGAGTCCGTAAACAGCAAGTTGAACCACACAAGAACGCCCCAAACATTTCCTCTCGGGGGTCAAACCCGCCATACCTGATCCTTTGAGTCTGCCAACCTAATACTTAATAACTCACTGCACATGGCGCACACATACTACCTCGATGGAGAGAAGATCATAACATAGGAAGGGGCATGGATGGGATGGAGTGGAGATGATCGGAATGCTAAAGAGTGGAGGCGAGGGGAAATACAAAAGGCAGAAACAAACCAGAAGGGACTTACAGCGCCACTAGATTCACAAGATTGCCGATTGCAGGCGAAACTGTGCCATTGAGCTTATTCTCATTGAGATACCTGTAATGATACATATACAAGAAACGCGTATGCAGTACATAAAAAGGAAGGGTTCAAGCTCGCACGGAAGAAATGAAAAGACAGAAAAGCAGAGAGGGGCCAACCAGATTGGTATGCCAACAATAACAGGAGAGCACTGAAGCACAGCGTAGGCACAAGGAAGATTCGAGCTTGAGCCGGTTCGGGTCAAACTTGGCCGAATTGGCAGGTCTAGTCAAACCGTCCCGGATGGGTTCGGGCAGAACCAGCTCCAGCTCACAATTTAACTAGACTGAGTGCTGGTCGGGTAGTTAAATGGACCCGACAATGGAGAACATCGGTGCGGGCTGGCATTGAGAGGAGACGAAGCGGAGAGGATACGTGCACAAGGGAGGGAGAGCACGGAAGAGAGCTTTGCAGGAAGCTTTACAGCCTTTGCAGGTTCGTAAGCTCGTAGAGTTCGTCCGGGATTGAGCCCGTCAGCTGATTGCCCGAGAGGAATCTGCAGCAATAAACGCAAATGAGCATGTGATACAGGGAGCGTATTCTGTGTAGACAGCAGCATATTCATGCGATCCGGTCTGAGCTGAACTCGAGCTTCAAACAAATTCCGTTTCATTTCGTGACAAAGCAGTTTGCGTCTAAGTAAACAAGGCACAATGCGTTGAGCTGATTTAACATCCCCAAAATCCTTGTGTGTTACCATACATAATCAGAGCAGATGAAACATCTTTAAGCGCACTGTTGGTGCTGGTGGTGGTAAGTGGAGCTGCTACGAGACCATTGAACGGATGGAAAGGAAAGCATCAGTGTGGACAAGTGTCAAGACGGCGAGAAGCGGTGGAGAGGAGAAGCGGTGGAGAGGAGGGGGCGCACAAGTTAGAAAGGACAGGCAAGCAACAGCTTTGCAGGACGCCTTACAGCATTGTGAGAGTTCTAAGTTCACTGATTGCAGCAGGAATTGAGCCATTGAGTTGACTGTTATAAAGGGATCTGCAAAAATGAACACATATGTGCATGCATGTGTAGTGGTGATAAGTGGACTTAATAGGAGAGGATGCAATGGAAGAAGAAGCAACAGAGAGAACATGCGTGAGGACTGGCATCAAGAGGAGCAGAACTGGTGGGAATAAAGCAATTGCGTTGCAGGAGACCGTACAGGCTTCGCAGTCTTGAAAAATTACTGATTCCATCGGGAATGGAGCCAAACAGCTTATTGTCTGCGAGAGATCTGCAACGATGGACAAACGGCCACATGGTAGGTAGATATTGGAAGCCAGTTATTCCATGGAAGTGGCTAGCATAGCAGCATATGAGATTGTGCATGCTGCATATGTAGCCATTGAGTGTGTAAACGTGTTTATATACTGACATTGTGGGAGGCCTTGTTGCGGACTAGCCTCGAGGGTAGGAGAAGTGGTGGAAGAGTGGAGGGGTGCAGAAGGTGGATCAGAGCGCAGCCAAAAAACAATGTTGCAGAAGGTCTTACAAGGATGTGAGTGCTTGAAGATTGCTCAATACATCTGGGATCGAGAAGCGGAAATTATTTTTGGTGAGATCCCTGCAACAATGAACACAGATAAGCATGTGGCGGTGGTACATGGACCATATATTCAAGAGAATGGAATGGAAGAGAGATTAACGGAGGCCATGGGTGTGGACTAGCATCAACGAGAGGCGCTCAAGATAGGGCAGAACAAAACAACGGGCTTGCAGGATGCTGTACAGGTATTGCAGGTTGGAAATTCTGCTGATGCCAATTGGGATGGAGCCATACAGACGATTCTGCAGGAGATTTCTGCAATGGCAAACACAAAGGGGCATGCGAGAGATAAAGGAATTTCAACTGAAGCCTGCATAGTAACCAGCCCACCCGTAAATAGGGGCTGGCTCGTGGCAACGTGGGGTCTTGTTGTCGTCATCTTGTCACAGGGCGATCTTTCTTAGGTCACCAGGATCGCAGCGAAGTTTACTCTTTTGCCACTTTGCTCGTAGTGCTTGTAGTCTCTTACAGGCAATCCGTGCTACAAATGCGCCATCCGTATCAAGTACTAAAAAAACAGCAAAGGATAGGGTGGTGGAAAGTGAACCTGATGCAAGAGGATGAAACAGATGAAGGGTCTATGGAGAGCATGTGTGTGGACTGGCTCGCATCAGGGGGAGGGGATTAGGTGCAGAGGAGAGACGCACAAGCACAATCAACCAAGAAGCGGCCTTACAGGAAGCCTTACAAGGTAACCAGGTTTCTAAGATTGCTGACCGCCGTGGAGATTGATCCACTAAAATAATTCACTGAAAGATCTCTGCAACAACACCCACAGAAACGAGCAGACAGAGGGAGATCAAAGGTTGCATGAGAAACGAGTGGTATACGTATGTGCATGCGAACCACAACTTGTGACAACAGGTTGAACCATGTCAGCATCGCAACTCAGCAGAATGGTTCCACTGAATGCTTTCATAGCCTTTTCTTAGTGCATACTACACCCGTGACCCTTCTATGGTACTTCCTTTTGAGTCGCTTACTCATTGAAGAGTAGTACGCTCCCAGGCATTTGGCGACGACAGCATTTGACAGTCAAATTCCTTCATTCTCGGGACGGGCGGTAGTCTGCTTGATGAGAAGTACCCGTAGCACAAGTCTAATGTGAATCGTATTCAAATACTATGCTTGCTCAGTTTCACACATCTGCTGGCAATGGTGGAACCTGCCCTACTACACGGCACTTGTGCGACCCTGTGCTACGTCCACAATCAGATAGCACTTTTCCCATGGTTACTAAGCACGCCAGGGGAGTTACCCAACTCCTTGCTTGCAACCTAATCTGACAGATAGCACTCCTTTATTCCCAACGGAGACGAGAGTACACAAATGGGAGGGGAAGTGGATGGTATGGATAAGACTAGCACGAGGGGAAACCATAAAAGCAGAGAGGAAACTTGGAGCCTTACATGATCCTCAATTTTGTGAGTCCATAAACTTCGGAAGGAACTGAGCCAGTGAGCCTACTGTAACGAAGGTATCTGATATGATGAATAACATGCAAGAATGCCAGATGATACGGCAGAGAGTTTTAAGTTAATGGGCAAGGGGCGGGGCGAAAGAGCCGAGACAAAGAGGGGAAATAAAGGTTGAGGATTGTTGGGTGAGGAGAAAAGAGGAGATGTGAAGAGAGACGCCGGAAGAAGATCAATTATTTGTGTCAACGAGCCACTGGTGTAAAGAATGACTAGGAAAGGATAGCTATCGCCGTTGCAAGAGGGCTGCGGAGGGCCCCCGACGTACAGGACAGTGAGTTCGCGGAGGTTGGAGATGGAGCTCGGAAGGCGCCCTCCTCTGATGCCACCTTGAATTTTTCTGCAATAAATTGCACCCAAAACATGGCGTCACATTGTTTCCATGAGCCAACAGGGCTTGAAAGAGTGGCTGGGCACTTGTAAAGGTGGCACTAGTCGTCATGAATGCTGCAGGTCGCAGCTCACATCTGGTTGATCATCCCGCTCGTATCGCAGTCGATGCCTGTAGCAGCCTGGCAGGTAATAGGTCTGCCATTGAACGAAGTCCACCCAGCCAACACCTGACCCCATGCGGCCTGGCAATCTCGCAGGAATGTAACTGCCAGTCGACGGAGGGAAGGGGGAGGAGGGGGGAGGGGGGGGAGAGGAGGCGGTGGGAAATGAGAGGGGGGGAATTTCGATGGAGGGGGGGTCCTTTGGTGGTCGTTTGTAACGCCTGTGGGGCTTACACGTAAGGGTATGAGAGCATCCGCTGCGCCTCAAATACAACCCTCGTTTTGACTCAGTGGGTAGCGAAGTGTTACATCGTTTGTGTGTGCGTTTTGGAAATGGGTACTTCGAAGCTAGGCTTGGAGTAGCTACGTTCTCAATACAAAGATTCTACTGCTGGTGACCAGCAGCATCATGGCTGCAAACTGAGCCGCTGACCTTGCGAGGCAGCCATCACTTGGGCGTGGACCACGGCGGGCGTGGCGAGAGCGGCGAGCCACCACGCGAGTGCCAGCGCGGCGCACTGCGCGTGCCGCTCACGCGGCCGCTGCATCCCCTGGAGGCGCCAATGATTTGCCGACGCGGGAGCCCAGGTGCGGGCGGCGAGCCTGGAGCCCCGCATGATACTGCTCCCGACTTGCTTAAGATGATCTTTACCTTGTTTTCACGACTGCTCTCTTCCAAGTATGGGGCCGCGCTGTCTACTAACATGCAAGCCTGGCACGGTTCAACCGTGGTGCTTTTTGTGGTGGGAGGGTTGTCTGACAGTGTTGGTGTGAGTTCTTCATGTAATTCAGCACAGTAATGGTTTTGCTACTATCAACCAGGACGATACAGTAGTAACTTCCGTTACAAGCAATGAGGATTGAACGTCTCACACCTCCATCGAGCAGCATTCTGGAATGTGTCGAACAGCCCGCGGCGATTGAGTTGGCCGAACTTTCAACAGTGTGAGGAAAGGGGGTACACAAGATGCCCAACCCCTGCACGCGAATTTGCTCTGTCCGCTATGGAAACTCTGCACCCGTGTATTAGGGTACCAGGAAGTTGCACCCCATTTATAAGCACCTCGAGCAATACGAACCACAAAAACCGAAGTTTGACATAAGAGACCCATGTCAAACGGTCAACAGCGAGTTACAAAATCTTTTAAAAGCCCTTTTCGCTAAGTGCGAATTGACGAAAGCTAAGAGCCCTCTTAGCAAGGCAACCTTGGGTTAGTCAAACGGGCATCGTGTGTAGTAGGGCGGGGGAAGGAAGGGGTCAATGAAACTCAAACCATCGAATACACCTGTCCCGCGAATATTCCACACCCTGAAACCCCTGAACCGCGCCGAAATTTGCCCCAGGATGTGTGAAAATAGACGTAAGAAAAAAGTTCCCCGTAATTTCACACTGGGGTCGAGGATGGGTTGATGCTGACTTGGACCGAAATTTCTTGGCGATCATCTGAGATTTCTCTAACCAGTCTGGAACCACCACGTCAGGATTCCATTTGGGCACAATCTGAATCAGCTCGAACTGAAAGTCCCCACACTGGCCCATCAGGCAGCTCGTAGTATAAATGGGGTCATTCCTCCCCAGAATCACCCAATGTCGCACCACGCTTCGGCAGAGCTGCGGCTCGAAGTTGTGCCAATGACATCGAAACGCTCTAAAATTATCGCAAGGCAGGTGTAGAACCTGCGGCGTTTCGTGGCTGGGGTTGAGATTCTCGAAGGCTCGTTGTGGGCGCATGTGTCATGGCTTTCCTTACGTCCACGTCATCCGTCAGTTATGTTGCCGATCTCCAGAAGCACTCCACGCCACAGAAAACTCGTGCGGAAACAGCTGAAAGGACACTGGCACCGTCGGAACGTTTGCTCCGTCAAGCGCCAACGGCCACCTCAGCGAACGTCTGACCCGACCCTGACAAACCGCCCTTGCTGCTTCATCTGTCGTGTAGTGAAGCATGCGAGCTGCCCTTGGCAAGCCCTGACAAAACACTAGACTTAGCGGTGATGGGGCACAACACTGCTGAAAAAGGACGTGGTGGAGAAGCAGTTCGCCAACCTAGTCCCACCGCGTTACAGTTCCTTTGACTTCCAATTTTGAACCGACTCTATGATCCTGGAAGGATAGTTGTAACGAATTTTGCCTAATTCCTTACTGAGGCACCTTATGCGCATACAACTCCAACTTTAGGAGTTCCAAGCTCCGTCCAACGACCTCGCCCTCCGAACGTCCCTCGCGCCGCCTTCGGGTTTTTCAACTACAAACCTGCACCCGGTCATGCACGGTCCCGCGGCCTCGTCCTAGCTAGCCTTCGCTACCGTGTATCAATGCTATGTCTCACTATTTCAGCAGTAGTTGTAATCACTTCCGCATTATTGCATTATGCGCACTCTCTTCTTTTACAACGATTTTTATGACTTCGATGAAGGCGCAAACGCTACCGTAGTCGGAGCGAAATGTTACAATCCCAAGTGGGACTTAGCAAAGGATCGCTCAGGATTGATCGCAGAGTAGTGTTGCAGCGGAAGTTTGAATCTCAGGTCAGAGTGAATGTAAATGACTGAGTTGATAAAAGCATGCATACATCGGGTTTATATAAGAAATAAGGGGAATACGAAAAGACATAGACTAGCCATGTACTCTAAGGGTACATTCCCTTATTGCAGCGAAATTTAAAACCGTGCGGCGCGGGATCCCGTTTTGAACCTGATCCCGCTCTTTTCACTTCAAATGTTTCTGCCTGCATCGGCCTTGGTTAGACGGTTGCTGCGTCGTTTCGACTCTTCTGACTCCTCGAATTCGTGCTCGGTAGGGTCAGCTCCTGCAGCATACAGGGATGCCTTCTCATAAAACTTCATATCGTAACACTCCCCTTCATTCCTGGGCGCAGGAGGAGCTGACTCGCTTGACTACTCCGCTAAGGTCAGAGCAGTGCTTGTACTGCTGACGTGGCAGGCGCTTGGTGAGGAAATCTGCTGCCATCTCAGTAGTCGGGCAATAGGCGAGGTCAACTTTTCCTTGGTCGATTTCGTCCTTGACGAAAAAGTACCGAAGTGCGATGTGCTTCGTGCGGTTCACGAAACCTGGCTTGTTCGCGATCGTGATGGCACTCTGGTTGTCGTAGTAAAGGCGAAAGGTAGGCGAGGTTGGAATTTTCGCCTCCTGTAACAGCTCTTGCAGGTACAGGCCTTCGCGAACTACTGCTGTCGCGGCGATGTATTCTGCTTCAGCCGATGACAGGGCAACCAGCTCCTACTTCTGTGAGTTCCAGGAGATTGGCCCAGTTGGTTCCAGGCGAAAAACGAAGCCGTTCGGGACCGTCGATTTGCAGGGTTAGCTGCATGATCTGCGTCCACATAGCCGTTGAGGTTGAAGTGTGTCGTCGTCAGCGTGGAGTAGGAGAGCCCGATGTCAGGTGTGGAGATGAAGTACTGTAGGGCGCGCTCCAGGTCCAGTTGGTTTTCAGCTACTGGCTTGTGAGAATACTGCGCCAGCTGGCTAGCGATGTACGAAATGTCGGGTCGGCATGTGACAGAGGCGAATAGCAGGCACCCCTGTTTCTGCCGGTACATTTGGAGTCCTGCGGGTGACAAAGGTTTCCTGTCCGGTTTGTAGTTGGCACTGGGGTTGCTGTAGGGAGTTGAGAGTGGTGCGGGTGAGATGTTGAAGCGTTCCCCCAGCTGCTCTGCGTACGTGGAGGCTGACAGGTGAATTGCTTCTGGCGCGTAAGTGATGTTCAGCCCCAAAAACTGCTTCACGTCGTGGTTGATGGTGATGTCAACGCGCTGCGCCAGGTTCTCCTCGAACTGATTAAGGAGTTTGTTGCAGGTGCCCGTGTACAGCAGGTCGTCGACGTAAACTGTCAGGAGGATGTAGTCGCCGCTAAAGTAAAGGCGGTACATTCCTGGGTCGTGTGGCAGCTGCTTGAAACCGATCTCGAGGAGAATTTTGTGCAGATGCTGTTGCCAGATGCGAGGCGCTTGCTTGATCCCATAGAGGGACTTCTTCAACTGACAGACCCTAGAATCCCCTTCTCTATAGGTGTGAGGTTGTTCCACGAGATGGTAGCATCCACCAACGCGTATAGAAACGCGTTCTTCACGTCGATCTGTCGCAGTGGCAGGTGCTTAGCGGCGGCAATGGCGAGTAGAATCCTGACGGAGGTGTGGCGACTGACGGGAGCAAAGGTCTGGTTGAAGTCGATGCCGTGGCGCTGATCGTACCCTCGTACGACCCAGCGTGCCTTAAAGCGCTCGATAGTACCGTCAACGCTGGTCTTCAAGCGAAAAACCCATCCGCTGAGTACCCTCCTCCCCTTCACTGCTGCACGATCGACTAGGACCCATGTGTCTCTTGACTCCAGCGCATGTAGCTCCGCATCCATCGCGGCACGCCACTCCTTGGCGTGAGGGCCGGTTAGGGCCTGACAAGGATTCTTTGGCTCCACGGCCCGTACGAGGGTGGTGACGGACGTGTGCAGGCCGAGGAGTTGCAAGCCTGACACATTGGTGGTGTCTGTGTTGGTGGCGACTTCCACCACGTCGTTGTCTCCGCTTTCGTAACTGGTCGCTGTGGTGCCTGGCTCTGCTTGGCGCTGCGCGGGGTCATCGTCACTGTCATCGTCGTCGTCGTCGTCGCGCGGGCGAGGCGGTGTGCTTGGGTGTTCGTCAGTATGCTCTCAATCCAGGACCGCTGCTGCCGCTTCGTCTTCAGGGGACGCGAAGCTGCGACTGCTGTTGGCGTAGCCTCATGCCTCGTTGCGACGTTCGTCCTCGATCCACTGCTTCAAGGTAAGTCGCTCGTAGAAGAGGATATCACGCGCGGGAACAACCTCATTGCTGTCAATGTCAAGAATAAGCCACCCTTTGTGCTCGTGACTGAGCCCCAAATGAATTCCCCAGCGCGCGCGATGAACGAACTTGCCGATTGTGGCCGAGGTCGGCCGGTACTGCACTATGCACCCCCAGACTCTAAGCATGGAGGGGTCTCCCCTTGAGCCGGTCCACTTCATGTGAGGGGACAGATTGTCCCTGTTGGAGGTGGTGGAGAGGAGGTTGTGCAGGCGCACCGCGTGGTTCATGGTGTAGGGCCAAAACTTCTTTGGCAGGCCGGACT